ACCATGTGGTCTTGGTTGCCTTGGGAAAGTTCTCATCTCAGGCATGATGCCCATCGTGGTGATCATAGAAGCAGCGTGTTACTGACACTCAGTTTCTGTGCTGGCTGCCATGTAATGAGTGGGAGGATTCTCATTTCACTCTCAACTTTACTGTGCTTATGTGACTGCAGAAAACGTCCTACAGAGACATAAGAAATGGGTCTAGATGTCATAGCTGGCATGGAAATTGTGATTTGGCACTCTGGCTTGGTGCTGGCACTGGTTCTCCTAGTCTTTTCTATAAGATTGATACTTGGGGCACTCATCTCAGTGGCATCCAGGAGGTATCAAGGGGGACTGTGAATCGCTCCTGGGTCTTCATCCTAGGTAAGGAGGCAGCTGTCCAGTGAAACAAGTGCGCATCTTTCCATTTAGCACCTTTAAGTCATTTCCATGGGCCAAACACTAGGACACTGGGATCTCCTGGAGGTTCAAGGGAGGGTTCGGTGCCCCTTTCTCTAAGGGCTCAGAAGATCCCTCGGGAGTTCCTGACGAAGAGCCCATGCATGTTTGAAGAAGGAGGGATGACAGTGAGGACCCACACTCAGTCTTACCCAGCTGGGGACCTGTTCCTGTGGACCAGTTGGCAGGGGTTCAAGGCCCCGTCTGGGAACAGGGGTGCAGGGCCAACCACCCATGTCCAGGCCCATCCGCCACTGTCCTGACTTTCTCCAACAGACATTTCTAGAAGCAGGAAGGGGATGTAGGCCCTAAGCTGACTCCTCCCAATTCCAACATCTTCAATATCTGTAAAAGGAGTCCAGAGATTCCTTTTGTAAAATGAGGACATCATGGAAAGAATCTCAAAAGAAAAAATAGATTCTGAAAAAGCGATCATTATTCACTGAGCGACAGCAGCATCAAGATGTTTTCATGAAGGATGATTACCTTTGAAAATAAGTTCGTCAGAAGAATCTCCAAGTCCTCAAGGAACCATGAGCCCTTGTGATGTCCACAGAGTGGGAAGACGGAAACGCTGTCTTACTCTGTGTGCCTGACCTTGATTTTCCGATTTGCTCAGATGCAGATTTATGCGTCAGCTTCTTATTGTCACTGTTGTTCTGTGAGTTTAGATTAGAGGAAGATGAGAGAAAAAGATCCATGACAGAATGGACCAAAAACTCAATCAATGAACCTTCTAGAGTAGAAAAAGAGCAGAGAGTAGTTTCCAGACCTGTTGTGGGTATGCTGTGATATTCCAGTGTAACACGGGGATTTCTGTCCCTATGTGTTTGCTACTCATTTTTGCATAAATGGGATGGAAATGGTGTAACTATGAGTCAGCTTAAGGATTCTAAGTAATCACTGCAAATGGATTTAAAAATTAAAGTGATTAAAAAAGTGTTGAATAGTTATGCTTCATGTAATGATTTATTCCACGATGCTGTCAACAATGATACCCGGAATGTAGCCTCTGTTTCCATCAGAATGTTGTCAGTTGGGAGTGCTGCTGTGGGCTGATGGTTTTCCCACCTGTTTATGTGTGGCATTGAGAAATGAGGGACTTCTCCATCACGGGAGAATCTGTGATGTATAGTGTGAGTCTTTTTAAATTTTTTAAAAATTACTTATTCGCGGGAGAGAGAGCAGGGGCAGGGGAGGGGCAGAGGGACACTCAGACTCTCCACTGAGCAGGGATCCTTTGGGGGCTCAATCCCAGGACCCTGAGATCATGACCCAAGCCAAAGGCAGACGCTTAACTGACTGAGCCCCTCAGGTGCCCCGAGCCTTTTCTTTCATCTGTGTCTGTGGTGTTTTCTAAACACTGTACAGTTGATTGTGTATTGTTTGTTTTAGTTCATTTTATAACTTTCAGCATTCTGTGTGAGAGTGAACTACTGGAATGCATCTCATGCATAGGATAAAAATGTGCCATAATCCTAAGTATCATACTTTTTTAACAAATAAAATTGCATCTGGCAAGTACAGAAGTGTAGATCTTACAGATCCCTGAAACAGACCTGACCTGGTAACCTTGTAATGACCTTGTCACAGAATCGAAATGCCATTTTATCTTTATTCCACTGGGGTCTGAAACTGTGGAATCATTGAGTGACATGCTTAGTTTTGTATTGTCTGATTTCAGATTTTATTTTTTCATTCCCTTTTGGAAGTTTCTGAGGCCCTCAACGTCAGGTGGCGTTCCTCATCGTGGTCTATGGTTCTGAGCCGGGCCAGGTTAGGCGTTCTTGTTTGTGGACAGGCGGCCTGACCTGTCTTCTGAGGGGTGAGCTGTAGCCCTCCTGCCCCCCTCCCCCCGCGACACGAGTGTCTTTGCCGGAGTGCGGCACTTGTACACAGCTGGGCTGAGGGAAGACCAAATGAGCCATCCGAGGGCTGTGCCTCCTCCTGTGGTATTAGGGTGCTGCTGCTTCTTCCCAGCGATCTGATTTACATGCTGCTAATGGTCCTTTAAAAATGTAATCGAGTGAGAAAGACTTTTAAAGATTTTTCTATGGCCTGGATACCCACCAGAAGACTGGCAATTGCTAACTCACTAAAATGAAACTGTGGGCCTTTTCTAAGGAATGATTCCCTTGCAAGATGCACCAGGAGGCCTTAGGAAAGGGGGAAATGGTACCTGCGTTGTCTCCTTGGTCTTGTGACTGGCACACCTGTTCACTACACTCCTGTGATGGAATTCGTTCTGTCTCCGCCCCGAGCGCCAACCAAGGGCGACACGGATGGGCCCGGGGTGTGGTTTATCGTGAGATCGGCATCGCTGGTGGGGGAGACGCTGTTGGTGAGAACCCAGTGCTTTCTTTGGGCCTTGGTAACTTTTAAGGACCTGACACGTTTCTTCACTTGGAAAAGAGTGTTCTAGAACTGGCCTCCCAGTGAAGAGAGGCCTTTTACCAAGACTCCTGACTCCGTATTTTCACCAAGATGTATTTTGTCCCCATGCACGAACGTTCATTTTTGTGATGTTTGCTCTAAAGGAGTTGAGATATGACTGCTTTTTAAAAAATTCTGTTCTTAATTTTCATTTGCAAAAGAAAGTACTATGTTATAAAAGTTCGAAATGTCTCCCTCTTCTATACGAGTGTCATAAGATGTGTCTTTAAATGGTATGTTTGCCAATAAATCTACCTTGAAGACTCGTGGCTTTTAGAAAAGCATAGCCTGACACGTGTGTGCATGCGAGCTCCAGTGGCTCTGTAGATATTCATTTTACTTGGTATCAGTACCGCAATTCTTTCTACTTTTCTCACATTTCTAGTGTTTTCTCAAGGTTGGTCCCTGACTGTGGATTCACCGCAGAGGGAGAAAACTCATGTCACTGCCTGGGTAAAATATTCCGGGCAGTTCTTGCATATTCATAGTAAACCCCAAAGGTATCTTCACTGAATTATCGAGCTACTTAAAAGGCGATATGCTGCCCTCACATGCCCTTCTCAATCGGCCAAAACATACGCTGCACGTGACCACACGACTTGTTGACGCTGATTCACAACATGGAACGAACTCTTGGAATCCTGTAGCTCCTCCAGTGAATAAATTGGTCGCACACTTATCTCATGCCAGATGTGTCAGGGAGAGAGTTTTTCTAGATAAAAGGAGGTATTTCAGTAGGGAAAGCAGATGCTGTAATCTTTTGGTGACACTCTGCTTGACAGAATGGCCTTGCTTAGTAATTAAGTCAAATTTTACTTGCTGATAAAAATGCTCTGGAAGGGTCAGTCCGGTGGTGGTGGGCTTTGTAAAGGCGCTGTGCTGTTCCAGGTGGCGTGGGATGGATACGCTTCTGACCTGGTTCTCTCTTCTCCAGAGGCACAAAGCCTCTGATTTCTTTTCTGAGTTGTAACCCAGGATTGTGTACCTCAGCTCTGCCGGGCGACCATAGTCCCTGCTTCATCGGCCAGGCTCGTGGTTACTGTCTGAGGCAGCTAGTGCTGGTGGATAGATTGTGACCGCCGTCTCCCCAGCAACGGACACCTCGGCAGCCCTGCCCACTTCCTGTACCCTTTGCAAATTAGAAAGGTTTGCCCACACCTTGATTTCCTCCCTATGTACACTCTGCTCTGATTGGGGGAGGGCCTGAGATCCAAGGAGCAGAGGCAGAGACCCTGGGACCCCTCCTTGGAGGCAGTCACAAACCACTCACTCGGAAAGTACCCACGAGGCAGAAAGCCCTTTGCCTATCTAGTTTGTAGAGCCAACACCTGTACGTGGCTTAGAGGAGGGAATGGGACCCGGAGTCTTTTTTCCCCAGATGCCCCAGGCTGGCACCCTGGGTCTTCCTCTCTACCCTGCACACCGGTTACACCCATCTCTTCTTTTCCCTGGTAAGCGTGTGAGGGCCGCAGAGCCTCTGTCTCAGCCTCAGTCGTCCCAGCATCCTGGCAGGCGGTCTCTGTTAGTGCAGACAGCTGGAAAGACCTCTCGGCTCCAGGCTTCCAGGCGGATCTCTCCCTTGGGATAGGGCATGCGTATTGGGTTGATCTCTGCTGGAGGGTTGGGGTGCTCAGCTCAGCCGGGGTGTGGATCTTTCACTCACCCTCCCTTCTCCCCCAGACAAAAACGAGGCGACCAATCCCCTCGGGCTGGGGACCTGTTTGGTGGCTGATTTAGAGAGACACTGTCTCCATGGGGCCGTTAGAGGATTTGGCTTGGAAATACTGATGCGTTCACTTGTCTCTCTGAGGTTCTTTAAAAATGACATGAGTTAGCCATATCCTGCTGTGAGCCTGTGTGGTGCTCTGTGCCCAGTCCTCCCGGTGGCTGATGCTCCTGCCAAGGTCCAGGGTCTGACAAGCACAGTCTGAGCCGCATTTCAGCCCTGTCCTCTCCAGCCAGGCCAGGTGAGCCAGCAGCCGCCTGACCATCATCTCCTCTCCTGAGCACTGGACGGAGTTCTTTTTAGCCCCAGTATCCTTCCTTTATTATTACTTTCTTAGATTACTTCTATTTTCCCAAATTATCAAGACAATGAAATAAGTTTAAGAGCCACACAAAACATTACCGTTGATTTTTTATTTAAAAATTAATAAAGAACTTAGTGACAAGTATAATAATTTAACTTCTATACATAATGCCATGTATACATGTACATATGAGGGAACACTGTACTTTTTACCTTGGTTTTGTATCAAAGTTTTTACTTAAATCTTTCCAAGAGAAGAATAGGCGTCTGTTCATGACACATTGCAATTAAACTATGAAATGATTTTGAAAATTTTTTTTCTATTCTGAAGATAGTTTTAGTTTTAAATAGGAATTAGTTTATCTTCAGTTTCCTTTTTGACTTTGAATTTTTTTTTCTTTGATCTAGACTGCTTTTAAACAGTGATGTCATTCTGTTTACTAGGATGCCCTCTTGTTGAGACAGATTTATAGCACTAATTAGAAAGCTGCTAACACCCTTATTTCAATTTACCGAGATAGTCGGCATTCTTAAAACACAAGGGGATATAACTTGCAAACATTTTTATAACTTTAGTTAAAAACAGTATAAAATACATGAAACACATTTTTTTTTAAATTTTTGTCTATGTGAAACAATTGCACTTCCTTCATGGTACGGGATCAGTGTGTCCTTTTCCTTGCACAAAAATATTTCTCAATTCTGTTTACTGATAATTGAAGGATTTCTATGCTCACATAGTGTTTCCACTAAAGGTGTGTGTTTTTCTTTTTAATTAAAGGATACATCTGCAAGATAGTGTGTGTAACCCCCAAAGAATGCTTACAGAATACACTCTTCATTTTATTAATTCTGGGTCTGATGGCTGATCACTAGGTCCTTGTAGAATTGAAACACTTAGAACTAAAATAGATTTGGTATTGAGTGAGGAGGAAGACGCATGGCAAGAAATAGCTCCGATGGAAAGAATGCAGGTAGACATCCTTTTGGCATCTAATCAATGACGTGTCCATGTCAGCATGAAATTAGATGTGAAATTTTTGGACAGAAACTTGAAGACTAGGTTTTCTGGTATGTTCACAAACTATTCGAAATTTTACTTGTACAAAAAAAAGGCAAAATAAGATTTCCTACTTCCTATCATGAAAAGCAGAAAATGGACAGACCAAGTCATTTGTAGACGAGGGGCTTTTGATTTCTATAAAAAGATAATTGCAAAGGTGCAAAAGAATGAGTGGAAAAATAAAGGAACTAAGATTTATATTGCAATGTATAATCAAAAGAGAACTCTAAGTGTCACTGTTTATTTAAAAAATACCTAAAAACATTTGATTCACAGCTTTCCCCTAGGTATGTCATTGAGTACAACTGACTAATAGGTTGGATGTAGGTGACATTAAGTTTGCTGGCGGCAGCTAAACTAAACACGCGGCTTCTCTTTGAGATGGTCCGGTCTTCCACGGCGGTGACAGAGCAGAATGGATTGTATAAAACAGTCTGGCCACATTTTTGGTGATGAACAAGGTCTCAAAGACTTATCCACAGAAACACTTCCTGGCGGCAGAGAACCCCTATGATTTATTGGTGACGGCGTTATCCACTGTGTATCTCTATGTGTGTTTTCAAATTCTTGCCAGAATTTATCATTTGGCCTTTGGGTACCAAAAGATTAAAAATGAGATCTAAGAAAGCTTAGTGTCCAAAGCTCTGACCCTGTCAACTTCAGTGAGTAAAGGCATGTCCTAGACTTTGGGGGACTCCTGGCTGCTGGCCATTTGTAAAATGAGCAGTAAACATGTTGCAGGTCTGGAGATGAAGAGAATGCTAAGTTTGAGGTGTCAGTGTGACACTGAGATGGGGTCACTTGGCTTAGCGCTACAGCACATGAAGGCAAATATACATATAGTCACATTTTAGAGATTATTTATTGGTCTCCGACCACTTAAAAATATTGTGCTTTCTCCAGAATTTGATGTGCTGAAAATGGCACTTGCCCCCTGCTTATTTGCAAAACTAAACATAAAAATGAAGTCTTTTGCAAACATAAGGCTTGCTTTTTCTTCTCATTATTTAAAAAAAAAAAAAAAAGAAAAAGGAAAGGCTGGAAAATAATTATGAGTTTTAGCTGTGTACAGAGTGACAGCCCACCGTCTCGCAGGCTGATAACGTAACACTTGCCGATCTGGGGGTGGGGTGGGGGCATAGCATTTTTCTTATCCTCTTTGACTACATAAGCTTCATTTCAGAGTTTACATCCCACATCCGTGAACGGCAGAGAACAGCCGGCAAGGTGTGACGTCTACTACCTTGCTTCTGCTCACTACCTGTCGGTACAAAGGCCTTTTCGGTAAGCAGGGTGGGAAGTGGGAGGCGCCCGAGAGGCCGCCGCAGCTCACTCGATCCTGTTTGTTTTGGAAAAGGATTTACCATACTCCACTGGGTTTTAAAGACGGCCTTTAGACTCCACACGCCATGAGTTTTAAAGAAACCAGAGTTTCCATCTTCCGTGCTTTTTAGATTCGGGTTTGGATTTTTGCTTGTGAGTTGCGGAGTAGGGCTCCTGAGAGTAAGGCGAAGGTGCGACCTGAGTCTCCTCAAAAGGATGGAGTTTCTTCAGAACCGGCTGGAGCTTGTCTTCTTGCTGCTTAAAGTCCAGCTCCACACTGGGAAGAAGAGAGAGGGGAGAATTTAGTGCTTGAGCTTTCATATGTAAAGATCCCCCTTTAGTGATAACAAAATGTGATGACATCCTAACCAGGGTGATGACCGGTTTGTATTATGTTAATGTTTATTATATAATTTCATGGCTCCGTAGTGAGCAGTCAGTTCTGATCTATTTTAGCTCTGTGTCACTGGGAGCTGTCTCAAATAGGTTCATTTTCTTCGAAAATCACTTCCTTGCTTTTGTGATGAGCCTTTGAAGTTTTATGAATGTACTCCGTTGGTGACAGAGTATGGCCTGTGTGTGTTGTAATGAGAAAGTTGTCTTCCAAATAACCTTTTCTGGCTTGTCCGTAGACTGCACACACGTGCTTCATGGAATGAACAGGGAACTGGAAGTGTGATTGTTGGGCGGCCTTCCGCGCTCATACAGAGCAGCGGTGTGAGAGCCCTGGGCCCGTGCACCTGGTCACAAGATCAGAGAAATTCGTGGATCTCACCTCAGACGGTGGCATGACATGACCTTGGCTTCGGTTCTCCTTATGAAATCTCATTGCCTACCAACGTGGTAGGCACCACGATATCCAGCCTCGGGGGAAATGGTGTGTTTATGGGGTCAGCGCCATTGAGTGTCACTGAGTGGTGATCAAGGGAAGTTTTTTCGGCAGTGAAAATAACCTAAAATTGCGATTACATTGCTCAAGCCAAAGTGTGCAGACGTGTAGCTGCGAGGAGGGACCTTCGGCAGTAGTGACGATGTTTGTGTTCCAATGGCACGATTCAAGAAATTATTTTCTTAGGAAATTTCTCCCCAAAATACTGTGGCCTGCCTGGGGCCCTTCCTTCCCTTCATGGCCTTGGGAAGCCTATTGTTGATCCTCTAATGGACTAACTTCTAGGGTTCCCCTTGGGCTTGGGGATCAGACGCCCTCGTCCAGTGATACTTTTCTGTGATGGCCCCAGCGGTGATGAGCCTTGCCTCCCTTCTCACGGCCCATGTACCCCGACTATTTGAACATGGGCATTGCATCGCGCCAGGCCTCTGGAGAATTCCACCCTGGGCTCCTTCCACATCTGGTCTGGAGGCCGACTAAATGTCAGTAGATTTCAGTAAAGGCTCAGCAATGATGATAATACATGAGCTCATAACATTTTATATCCAGTAGAGCCGTAAACCATTTATAAACATGAAATCCTATTGATTTAGAGAACCATTAATCCTAACCAAATTTTGACATTTTGGAAAGACAAAACAGCAAAGCTGTATTATCCAGACTTTTAAAAACAAGTTCAAGACCCATCTAATGGACCATTTTATGTTTTAAATCCACTGTTCTATTTTTCTTACCGTTGAAGACTATAATAGTACTGGAAAAATTAAAAATATTGTCAGAGAAGTTTATGGCTAGTTAACCCCTGCTCCCAAAACAAGAATTATTTTTTTTTCCCTTCATTTCAGATGGCCCTTTTGAGTTACGCTGCAGTTTATAGGAGGCAGAATGAAACCTCGTGCGCTTGTGCCTTGCTAATCTAGAGCACGTGATGCTGGAGGCACAGTTTCCCCGTCAGGGCAGGTGTGCAGATGCCCTTGTGAACTGTGAGCGCAGTGATGCGCTGCGGTGGGAGGAACAAGGACCAGCCTCCTGCCTTTTCCTCTTGTTGCTGCAGGGCCATGTGGGCTTCCCCAAGTGCCCGCCTGACAGTCTCCCTGAATTGTGGGGAGGATTTCCAACCTCCCCCTCCCCCGCAAAGAAAAGTCAGTGAAAACATGTCCTAAACTCTTAAGCTGCAATTCAGATCTTATGTAATCCTTATTATCTGATGATGCCTCATTTTATCATGCGAACCAGAGCTAGCAGTGACAAAGATACCCATGGGAGAAGTCTTTAGCTTGGACCTTTCACAAGGAAAATGAGGACTGTGCAGTTGAGGGTGGGAGATCCTGTGGTATCCAACCTGGTATGTTAGGTACAAAGGGGTAATTTTGTCAGGTACGTGGTTAATACTGGAAGCGTGCTCTCCAGATCATAACCGTGTCAACGGTCCCAGATAGGTTTTGAGTTATTAGATTGGCAGGCGGGTGCTCGCCTTTCCTAGGCTAACAGTACGATTCTGGGTACCTGTAATTACTGATTTCCCATTAAGCCGCTACATTGGGAACCCTGTTATTAACCAATTTATCACACCGCGGAACCATGTAATCACAGAGTAATCGAATCTGAGTTCTTGTTAACAGAATGACTCGACTCTGTCTGTCGAGCTGATCCTTATTTGCCCTCCCCCATTACTGAGACGCTGCCCTCAGGAGCGGGAGCAGGCTTCGTTACAGAGGGAGCGTGTATGGCCACCGATGCCCTCTGGGAAATGCCCCTGGTGGGGCTGGCAGTGACCTTGAGCCATGCCCCTCCCTCCCCTCCTGTCACTCATGAGTGTCGGGGCATCTGCCTGCGGAACAGTGTGCCCTGGCTAGCAGACACATGATGCGTATCGCTGTGTACACTGTTGTCCTCTGGGGGCCTTCTGTCATTGTGGAAGGAACACACCAAGTCACCGGGTTGATCTGAAGCAGACAACTCGCTGGAGAGGGCAGCGTCTGAAGGTTAGTCGTCTGGCCAGCTCTGGCTGACACAGAGCAAAGGTCCATTGAGTCTTAGCCAGATGGCCAGAAGAAAGCAGCACCTGCTGTCCTGGCTAGAGTAGAGGTCCTGGACAGAAACCCCCAATGGACATAGGACACTAAGACTGTGCACAGACCCCTGTCCCTGTGAGACATCCAGATTGTGCCTATGGGAGGCTGCCTGGGCAAGAGCCACTGCTCTCACTCTGGGCTCTAGCACGGACACCTGAGTGATACCAGGTGTGGGGACGGGGCCCTGTGTGCTGCCTGGCAGATGGTGTGGTGTGGGAGTGGCCACCATTGCTACGGTCTTTATGGCTCTTACTTTCTCCCTGCCCTAAACACCTGTCCTTGCTCCTGGCATGGCTGACCACTCCTTTGTCCCCGAGGTACACATGACCTCCTCATTCTCTACCATCTTCTGACAGATCACCCTCCACCATTTTCTTTTCTCCTTCTCTGCCCTCACCACCAATAACTGCTTACTTGTTTCTGTGTTATCTTGCCTCCATCCCCCAGATGCAGGTGCCAGCACTGGGGATGCTGTCCCGTCCCCATTACCAGCACCTACAGCAAGACCTGGATCCTGACGGTTGACTGTATACTAGTTACTGAATTAAACACATGAGCACAGAGCCATAAAAGACAGATTCCCCTTAGCTTTAGTCCGAGTTGCCCTGGTTGGTCTGTTTGCATCAGCGCTGTGGCTTGTGCCCCCTCTTTCCTCCCACCCTGAGAGCCCACTACTTGACCCAGTCAAATGGGGCTTCTTTTGAAAGAAGTTGGTGGGCCCACTCCAGGTGAAATCTGGTCCAGCTCCATTCTATCAGAATTTAATTGAAGACGGTGAAACATTGCAAAACACACAGGGATCTTTTTGGAGCTTGTTCCCTGCACTTTGACTTCCCTTTTTCTGGAAGAGTCTACAGTAAGGATGGATGGGATCAGTAGGGGGCTCACAAGTGGCCAGCTGTTCCCGTGCTCTGCTCGTGGGAACTCGGGAGTAGCATTTTATCCTTCCTGTGTGTTGGAGGAAGGCCTGGGTCTGAGTTGGAGGCCCTGATGGTGTCTTCCATTCTGTCAAAGGTGACCCGCCTCTACCACGCAGTTTGGGCCTGCTTCCCCAGAGCGGTCCCAGCTCAGAGACTTACCCCTGATGGAACGAGCAGATGCGAATGTTTGTAGTCCAAGTCTGGGCTTAGTCCTCATGGTCCTTTCAGACTCTGGTGGGGCTTTAAATAGCTCCCTGGACCCTCCAGGGCCTGTGTGCCCAGCAGCCACACAAGGTGGGAGGCTGCTGGTGTTGCAGGCTGGGTCTGGTGTTCGTGATGCACTGTCCTGGGGAGACTCCCATCATGCTGAATGCTATTTGTCAGAAGGAAAGCAATCTGGAAAAAGTCCTGATGCTTGAGTTCCGAAGCATGAATGTGAAGGGGCTGGAGCCAGGCCGGGCTTACCCGTGCTCGGTGCTCTCTGAACAAAACACAGGCTGCAGCTTGTGCCAGGTGAGACTCGGTGCCCAGAAGTACTGGGACTGTGGACGAGACCTAAGTCCCCAGGAGCTCCTGTTACATCTACCCTACATCTTTCCTTCCCCTGCCTGCCTCGCCTTCTCTGTCAGACAGCTGAACCATGTGACCAAAGCTTTGCATTGAGACCATCACGTGACCTGAAGGCGGGCCACGGTGCTACTGCAAAGCCATTTTCCGTACTCCACGGGACTCAACTGCGATGAACGATTAAAGCTGTAGATTCCATTTCTTTGGTTAGTCTTTTTCCTCTTAAAAATGGGAGTTTTAAGTATGGGCACTTCTCTTGCAAAATTATTATTCTGTACATTTCCAAAGAAGTAAGTATCTGTCCTAAATCTCAGGCTGCTCCGTCAGCTGGCAACTCAAGCTTTCTTCCTTTCCCGGAGACTCTGCTCAGCTTTGTAGTAACACCTCTTCCCCCCACTCCCTGTGCTCTTGCAAAGAGGAGCGTGCTTGTAGCTTCAGTCAGAGCTCTGCTCGTCTGCAGCTCCTATAAATACTTGGACCTCGCCAGTTTCTTCAGCACACTGTCGCCAACTCCTCAAGTTAATTTAAGGGGAATGTAGTTAAAACATCCCTTTCTTCAGTCCTCTGTGTGTAGCCGTTAGGAGTTAAAAGCAAGCGAGTTTGCCTCCCAAGTGCTTGTGTTTTCTGGAGTGGAGGAAAACCTGAAATCTCCGATTTCTCCGGCGGGCTCCGTAGACTGCAGAGCAGTAGCATCTGTTTTTAATTCTCCCTGAATTAGATCACTGAGTTCCCCTGGTGCTGTCTGTGGCTCTGACTGACTCACGCTCTGCCACTGTGGATAAATCATCTCACCTATGGGGACCTGAGCTTGCCGGGTCGTGAAACA